ACTTCACTTTTGATTTATCTTTATGGATTGGCCTCATAGGAGAAAAAACTTTCTCAGAGTTTGTTGTTATTACATTCACATGTGATATTCTTGGGTTCTTATCGGTATTACTTGGAAGTTCACCTGGCATTCTTTGGTTGACTTGTTGTGCAAGTTGGCCTAATTGTTTCTCTATGTTGAGAATTGAGGCTTGTTGATTCCTAAGTAGAGCTTGTTGATCTCTCATCATAATTTGGTGCTCTTTAAGCACGCTTTGTTGCTCTTTTATTGCAGCATCGGTATCGTTGTGCCTTTTCTCGGATGCAGCTGCAAATCTTGTTAGCATATCCTCTAGGTCTGATTTCTTTTCTTGCACCGGCTCCTCTTTTTGATAAAAACCCCTTGCTTTTTGCTTATACTTTTCCTCCTTCGCCTTCTTGTACTCATCATAAGGTATCCATTCTTTCTTGGGTTTTCGCCAATCATCATCATATCTATCACCACTTGAATAACACACTTGAGCTTTCCGATTCCCGTTCTCATCAAGATCACAGTCTTTAGTAAGGTGAGGCCCTCTACAGTTGTCACATCCCACTCTAATGGCATGGATGGATTGGTCCATCTTAGTCATTCTTCGATCCATGCTCTCCAATTTTTCCATCATTGCTGCCATGTCATCGGAAATAGAGTTCATCACCCATCGAGTTGAGTCATTCCTTGTTTCTTTTAGCTCAAAGGTAGCAGTTGCTGGAATTGCGGGCTGCACTAGTCCCGGCCCGGTATCATCACACAACCTCTTCTTGTATTCACCCATGGTGAGATCCGCAATGTTAGCCATGGTGTTATCGAGTTCGCCTTCTAAGTCACTTTCTTCTTTGGTTTCTGTCTCGTACTCGGTGCCTTCTTTTTTAGGGTCTTCGTCCGTCAATGAGGTGCTGGACTCTCCAACTTTCTGGCCCTTTTTCTTGCCAAAAGCTGATATGAGGCTCTTAAATGGTGACTTCTTTGGGGTTGAAGATGATTCTACGGTTTTGTCCTTGTCCTTCCTAAGAGCTGATTCTGGGTTTGCGAGTGGCGGGATCAAGGGCGTGCCTGATCCTCGGGTCATAAAATACATGAAATAAATAAAAACACGCGTAAAAAGAACAAAACAAAACTAAAAACGAAACTGGATTATTACGATGGACTCGTCGAGTAGCTGCGACTGTACTCGGCGAGTCAAAGGCAACTCAGAAAAAATTTAGAACTAAAATCCTAAAAAACAGAAAAAATAGAATTCAATCCTAATAACTAAACTACTAAAGCAGTAACTTTGTGCAAGATAGTTCTCACACAAAGGATCGATAATACTAGCAATTAAAATTTATTTTAGAACCACTCCCCGGCAACGGCGCCAAAAACTTGATGTGTGTTTATTTCACTAGTTTTAATCCTACTTTTTAAATATGATTTAGACACACAAACGGCAGTGTACTTGTCAATTGGTGGTATAATTAAGCAAACAGGGTATCGAACACAGGAAACATAAATAAACTAACTACTAAATTATCTAAAAAAAAACAATTAATAAAAGAAAAGAGGTTTTATCTAGTTTTACAAGACTAGAAACTTAAACACTTATCTAACACTTATACAAATCAATTAACATCTAAAATAAATAAAAATCAACTAAATTCAATATTAAAGGAGACTTCTGTTTAGGTTCGATTCATTTACTCATATGGTTGATTTTATGGCAAGTGCAATGGATTAATTGTTATTGGCTACCGATTAATGTGATTAGGTTCACGTTCGCTATTACTAATCCTTAGAAAACAAATTAATTCAAGCAGTGATCAAGTGATTAAACTAATAAATTTCCTAGTTTATTGATTCAGGTTAAGTAAGACTTGTAGTTAGCTTATCAAATTACTAATTTAATTAACCTCTTGTTGATGGTTCGTCACACAAGCTCACACATTAATTTACCTATTTTCTAGTTAACCCTAGTTTCACGTTCGCTATTCCTAGGCACATAACAATGTTTTCACATAAATCATATGAGATAAGCAATTAAGAGATGTTCATGCAGCTTAATATACTTGTTAATTAACAGAAAATAGTTGTTGTTAACACATAAGGTTCTTCAACAAGCTTAACAAAACAAAACTCACCAAATTCAATTAATCCAACCACAAAATCAAATCATAGTCATAAATTCATCTACCCTAAACAGAAGATATGAGTTTTAGCTCATGATTACAGCAGAAAGTAGCTCAAAAACGAGATCTAATTGTTCACACATAGTTCAAACAAAAGATTAAGTAAAGAGTAAACTGAAATTGCCTTTGATCTTCTCAATATTGAAAGCTAGGGTTGTTCCACGAGTTCCAGAGCTCCAGCTACACCTCCAGTCACAATTTAATCCCCAAGGGTTCCAGCCAAGGCTTTAGTTTCGAGCAATTGACTCATATTTATAGATTTCTGAAAACAGAGGCTACTCGCCGAGTCCAATAACCGACTCGTCGAGTCCCTCATTAAAAATCAGTGTGTACGGCAAGGACTTCTATTAATTTGAGAATGTTCATGTGGACTCGTCGAGTAGGCATCCAACTCGCCGAGTTCTTCAGGATTTTGACTCTTTTTCTTCTTTCTTCAATCCCCGAGCTCCCGATTGCATTTCCCGCTTCCTTTTGCTTCCGGGCACATCTTTTAGGCTGAGAATACAATTTAAACATAATTAAGTACCTTTTGTCCATAAATTGAAATAAATCAGCCAAAAACTATTAAAATTCTATACGAAATATATAGCTAAATATGCACATATCAACATACTTTTCATATTTTTCCTATAGTAACTAAGAGTGGGACTTTTAAAAATAGTTTAGTTACTTTATATCATTATACTTATTAATAACATTATGTCCTATCAAATCCGTTCAACTTACGACCCTCCACCATACAAGAGAGCGGTGGGTAAGAGTGGATACCCAATTGTGGTCATTTTATAGGCCGCTTCCTTAAACTCCCCTTATAGTATGGCTTCGTGAATTATGCATACTAGCGATTTGAATGACTTGTCTTATACTCTCCTTATAATATGGCTTCATGGATACCAATTTTGATTTAATCTTTAACTTTTAATTAACTATTAATTAAATTAATTTAAATCATATAGGTATTAAATAATTATTTACTGTTAAACTATTAATTAAATAATTTGCATTTAATCCTAATCCTTACCCTACTAGGTTTTCAAAAATTAAGGGGTATAAGGATTATCCAATTTTAATTATTCTATTTTAACCAATTAAAACAATAATTATCAAATAAGGAAACACTAATATCCCTACCATATTCTCAAAACTTATGGAGGAAGCAAGGGTTTCAAGAACCCTTGCCCAAGTCGAAATTTATATCCCTTAGGGTTTAATTTCAATAAACCCTAATTTGATCTACTCACCTATTATGCAAATCAATTGAAAACATGTGGTTCTGATACCACATATGGGTTTTATAGGTCACAAAAAGAAAATTCATGTGGCAGAAAATAACTTAACTCTTAAGTTCACATGCAACCTAATTGGATCTATGTTTTCACTATTGAAAGCTATAAACTATGAACATCAAAAGAACCCTATGGAAACCCTAGATTTTTCGAAAAACATAAAAGGTTAGGGGTTACATACCTTTTAGTTATTGTTGTAAATAACTAATCTAATCCTTCTTCAATAGCTCTTGGAAGCAAGCACCAGAAACCGCGTGCCTCTGATGGTTCACACGCAAACTGTAGCAACTAGGAAACTTGAAAAGATAGGAAAGGGGAGGTATAATTTCGGCTATCCTTTTAGGTGGAGTGATGGCCGAAATATGAAGGGTGTAAGGCCTTATTTATAACTGTTATGAAAACCCTAGATAACCCTAATTTGAATATAATACTATTATTTCAAATTAGGTAATTATCTTTATTCCTTAATTATTTTCAATGGATATTCTAGAAATCCTAGAATATTCCCCCAAAACCATCCACCTCTTATGGGGAATGTTCTGTAACCCTTTTGTTCAACTATTAAACAATTACAGCTTAGGTCCTTGCATTTTTAATTAATCCAATTAATCACAAAATTAATTCTAATTAATTCTTAATTAAACAAGGTTATTTCTAATTAATATATTACTTTTATAATATATTAATAAATCATTTATTGCTATTTATTAATCATATAATAAATCAATAAATCAGTTTCTCTCTCTCTAAAAATCATCATATTCAATTATTATGTTTGGGAGCAACCCAAAAGGACTTTGGTAATAATTCAAGTATGTATCAATTTATTTATTGGCTTAGATACCCAATCCAACAGACATCATGTTATCATATGCATGTCGTTGGGAAAAGGGGTGTGTGATGATAGGTTGGTGGATTTTTAAGCGGACTCTTCGTTACTACAAGACGATTGTGTGGATTTATTAGCAAACTATAGAGCTATTATGATAACATGATGTATGAACATCATATTATCATAGTAGACCACATTGTTGTAACACAAAATGATAGCAACTGATAAATGTGACTTGAAGATTAAAGGAAGGAGACATCCTTTCGTTGTAGATTTTTATGTTGGTTTTTACCCTATGATGTATTATCTTGATTATGACAATCGTGCGTTTATAGAGTTAAAGATTAAGATACATGTTAGCATTATATTGCAAAGAGACATCCTTCCATATTATTCTCTTGACATATATAGCTTCCTGTGGTAATTTCAATCTTGTTTAACACTTTACGTTTTCATTACATCCAACAATATAGAGTTTAAATAGATGAGAAATCCAACAATATATGGAGATATACCAACACAAACTTTTTTCTATTGAAAACAATATATACAACAATTTATACATATATAATTCACCAAAATCCATATTTTATTCTGTATTTACAATTTGTGGCATCACTGAAGGAGTAATCAATGGTTTTAATTGCTTCACCACCTACCTTAAAATGGAAGCCAACACCATAATTTTTCACTTTTGAATATTCTCTTTTACACATGCTTTTATTTGAAGATGTGAGTGTTAAATGTTAATGGTGGCAACATTCAAGTGGGTCCTAAAATGAATTGGACCTATGAGTTGTGATAAATTAAAAAATAATAAATAAGCGGATGTGATTACATGTTTATTTAGTGTTTTTTAATATGTTTGTATTAAGTTGCAATCAATATAGAAAATATACGATCGAAATGTCGTTCGACATGCTTAATTACTAGTAAATTGAAATTATGTTGCCATTTTTTTTCCAATTTATCCAAAAAAATATGTAGTACCTTCTTGGGTATGTGATAGATTATTTGTGAAGCAACGAATGTACTCTTTTCCATGGATCCAAGGCTTTTCGATAACTGCACTCCACCTGTTCGACAAAATTCCTCACTCACACTTATCACACCACGCCATCTCCATATTCCACTCCTCTCTCTCTCTCTCTCTCTCTCTCTCTCTCATCATTGTTAATGTCTTCAAGACTCATTCTAAAGCCAGCATCAATAAAAAAACCCACTGAATATACACATACAAAGACTAAAAGACACACATAACATAGCGGTGGTTGTGGTTGTGTTTTGTAGTAAATGGGTGTTGACTCAAAAGCAGGAATCTTGAAATCATTGATGTATATGTATAGTTTCTTGTATTTCTCTTCAATTTCTTTCCTTTTTCTCCTGTTAATTTTTCATCTTTTTAAATAATACATATAAGGGATAGGGACCATTTTGGTTGCTGGGGTGGTTGTAATTAAATGATGTTGGGTTTGTCCCATGCCACTCAAAGATCTTTTCTTTAAAGAAAAAAAAAAACCCCACAAATAGAATACACAAAAAAAGCTTAGATTATTACCTGTAATCTGTATTGTAATTGTAAAGTATTGTATAGAAGAAGACATCATTATTGCTTTTTTTCTGTGTCATCCATAACCCGACCCGACTTCTTTTCATGATTCTTTATGTATTTGAAATAAGAATTTCGAAGATTTGATTATAGATGATGGGTTTTTGATGTTTTGATGTTTTGGAGTTGGAAAGTTAAGATCAGCCATGGCTCCTGGGAAAGCTTTGGAGTTCTATCAAGAAGCCAATGACTGGTAAATTCCCATTCTTTATAATGCTTCAAAATTCAAATAGTGGTTTTTTTTATTCAATTGGTGATCATTTCTGTCTCTTACTCAACAACAATTCGTATGTTCTTTAGAATTCTGGAAAGCGTCTTTGATGGATGCATCATTTAGCCTAAATCATGATACTCTACTACGATCATTTTGATCTATAGGCTATATAGATCATGAACTTCGAAGCTTCAAAGCTTCAAACAAACATAAACTGTTGTTCGTCTGAAATTTGGTTTCTTTTTGTGTTAGGTTTTGTAATGCAGGTTTACCAAGCGATATCATGATCATCATAGACAAAGTAAATTTCCATCTTCACAAGGTAATGTTTCTTTGTGTATCTCTGTTTTTAACCCTAAACTTTCGTCACTGATGCCAGATTTCTTTCACTCCATGTTTTTTACAGTTTCCTCTATCGTCAAGATGTGGAAAAATCGATAAATTAATCAAAGAAACTCAAAATACAGACATTATTACCCTAGAAGACATTCCAGGTGGGACAAATGCATTTCTGATCGCAGCTAAATTCTGCTATGGCGTACGTGTAGAACTTACACCTCGAAATATAGTTCTGGTGTACTGTTTAGCAGAGTATCTTGAGATGTTCGATGAGTATGGAGATGACAACTTATTAGCCAGAGCAGAGACTTACTTCCATAAACATGTTGTAAAAAACTGGAAGGATTGCATGGTTGCTCTTCAAAGCTGTGAGACGTTTACAACACAAGCGGATAATCTTCAAATTATCAGTAAATGTTTGAATGCTGTATCGATGATGGCGTGTACAGATCCTAGTTTGTTTGGTTGGCCGATGATGATGTATGGTCGTTTACAGAGCCCCGGTGGTAGCATTTTATGGAATGGAATCAACACTGGCGCAAGAATCCGAAGCTCAGAATCCGATTGGTGGTTTGAAGATGTCTCGTATCTCAGTGTCCCGTTGTTTGTGAGGCTTATGAAGATGATGGAAGCTCGAGGCATTCCACCTGAAAAATTAACAGGTATCATCATAAATCGATAATCCATCTTCTACATTTTGGTGTCTTACCAATGTTATAGTCGTAAACATTATCTATATGTGACGCACTCCAAGTGTTTGATGAAATGTCTGAGAGTAATCCTTGGAATTTTCCTCTTATTTGCAGGGGCAATTATGTATTATTCTAGAAAGTATCTTCATGGGTTAGGGAGATGGAAAAGTGGACAACAACACACTGCAAAAGCAAGATCAATTGCAAGTTTGAGCATGAAACCTGCCATTGTTGACCAACGAGTTCTTCTTGAAAGCATTGTGAAACTGCTTCCTGAAAAAAAGGGCAAGTCTTTCTGTCGATTCTTGTTGGGACTTTTGCGTGTTGCTTTGATTTTGGGTGTTAATGATAAATGTCAAGATTCACTTGAAAAGAAGATTGGAATGCAATTGGAGCTTGCTACACTTGATGCCCTATTGATTCCTACTTATTCCAATTCCGATACTTTATACAACAGTGATTGTGTTGAAAGGATAATCAATCATTTTTTGAACTCTGAAAAAACTGCTACTCCTTTTTCTCCACCATCAATTGCTTCAGAAGTGACTCCTTCATCTTTAACATTGAAGAAAGTTTCAAAGCTTGTAGATAATTATATGGCGGAAGTTGCATCTGATGTGAACTTGAAACCTGAAAAGATAAGATCTTTAGCTGAAGCTCTTCCTGAATCTTCTAGATCTTTAAATGATGGGCTTTATAGAGCTTTGGATCTTTACTTCAAGGTCTCCTTCTCCTTCTTTCTCTTATTATGATCAACAAATTGTTAGAGAATTACACATTTAACCCTTGAACAAATTGTATTTTATCATGTAGGCCCATCCATGGTTACCTGAGAAAGAGAAAGAAGATCTTTGCAACATCATAAACTATCAAAAGCTCTCAATTGATGCATGTGCTCATGCTTCTCAAAATGATCGCCTCCCACTTAGAGTTCATCTTCAAGTTTTGTTTTTTGAGCAAATGCAACTAAAAGCTGCTTTATCTGCTTCCTCTAATCTTGTGTTTGAGAATCAGAATCAGCCTCCATTAATGGCTTCCCAAATTGTACAAAGAGATGGGTGGGTGACAATCGTGCGTGAAAATCAAGTTATGAAAGTGAGTATGGAAAGATTGAGGTCTAGAGTTGGTGAACTTGAACAAGAGTTTAATAGAATGAAAGAAGAAATGAAAAGAGTAAGTAGAACAACAACAACACATAATAATAATAATAATAATACTTTTTTTGAATCTAATTGGTTTGTTTCTAGAACTTTTGGGAAATGTAAGTTAAATCCTCGGTCATCAAATGTTCAAGAAGATGTTGTGGAAAGTACGGGGCCCGCAACGCCACGTGGCTCGGTTGACCAGCCACGTGTGTCGCATCATTCAAAACATCGTTAAAGTTTTTTTGAAGTTTATTTATTATATAATCTTGTAAGTAGTGTTATGAGGGTTGATGAAAGAGAATCCATCCTAGATGTTTAAAGATGTAAACATCTGGGATGGATTTTCTTTTGGGGGTTTATAGAAGTTGTTATGCAAATGCAAGTGTGCATTCTTTGTCAACTGGTGTAGATTCAGTTGAAGTATATAACACAGGTGTGCTATGAAATTGTAATTTTAAATTATATATATATATATATAGTTTATACATGTTCGTTGTTCATTAGTCATTACCCACACAAAGTGTGTAAGTTTGTTTATTCCAATAGGAAGAGATTCTTTGGCTTGTAATTTTTCTTGATCATGTATTATGTTTTTATTTTAATCCTCAAACCAATGGATTGGATGATCTTTGCATATGAAAATGCTAGCTGACGATGGAGAAAAAAGAATACAAACTATGAAGCTACAAGCAGAGGGAAAAAATGTAACCATGCAAATATTATACAGAAAGCTAGATTAGTTTAAAAAACTGTTTCTAGTCTCAACCTAGCCTCCAACGTTTTCTCCTATAACTTCATAATATGACTAATTACTTTCATAACTCTATAATTGTCACAACTTTTACCATCTATTTTGTTCTTATATTATTGGTATATAAATAAACCTGATAAAATCAAGGGCTAGACTATGTAAAGCAAATGATTTTTGGACCTACCTTTGAAATAGTACAACATCGATGCAAAAAGAAAATAATTCTCAACATAACTTATGTAAAGCAAATGATTTTGGTGTTGTTAGTCATTAGTTGTCAAGCAAAAAGTGATGTACATCCAATTTAAGCATTTGTTTACAAATCTTAAGTCAATTGGGTCTGTTACCAATATCAAACCTAACTTTAAATTGAAAAAATATATTTTTTTTTTTAATAGTATACGCTTTCGGTTTAGCCAGTTTTTCATTAAAAAAGAAAAAAAAATCTGTAGATTTAACCCAAAACCGTAAGCTACAGTTTGGGAAACCGTATTTTATAGAGAGAAAACCGTAGGTTTTAAAAAAACCTATGGTTTTATATCTTCAAAATAAAAAAAAAATTATACTAAACACGAAAAAGTAGACGAATTAACGAAACAATAGACGATTCTAAAAACCTACGGTTTCATGGGCTATTTTAGGACAATTCCTAATTTTTGGCTAAAAATGATTAATTATTTTTTTAATTTGGCTAGATTAGTAATTAGTCCTTAAAACTTTGTTCTGTATAATTGCAACCAATTTTTTTTTATTTTTTGAATTGGCGACCAGTTTCCAATTTAACCGGTTGAATTATTCGGTCTGGATTTTTAAGGTCTATGACCCGATGCGACACAATTATAATTGATCATTTTATTTTTATTGGATTCACGTTGTTTCATGTTCTAGAGAAACATTATAAGTTTTTCAATAAATATAATATGTTCTATATGTTTTCAACCGAATATAAACAAAAACTACTACAAACAACATAAACAGGATTTATAGGTCCCATTATTTGATTAAAAAATTCCAAATATGGAGGCATTTTGAGCTTTTTAAATTGATGAGATAGGTCACGAAAAAGCTCAAAAAAAAACAAAAAAAGTGTCTACCATCTTATCATTGATGCTTTTAGGAGCCCATAACCAAGGGGAAAAAACTTGGATTATATGAAAAAAAGCATCAACATCTCATGTGCCAGAATTTGGAAGGAAAATTGTCCTCAAAAATCATTTAAAACTAACCTTGTTCTACCAAATACTAGAAGAAGAATCATGTTTTCGGATCCTGTGTGGTGCTAAAAGAGAAGAAGTAAATAGTGAAAATTACAAAGCAAACACTCAAATCCAATCCAATCAATCGATAAGCAATAAAAACTCCGCTTATCTATGTGACATATCATAGCTACCAAAATGGTATAAATCCCCCCATATAACATAGGGGAATCATCATGTTGTAGTATATATCAATCGTCAATCAACCAAACTTTTTCCAACATCTAAAATCATTAATCAACCATACCATACATTTCCCTACTTAACCCTCACAAGATCAACCAAACTTACCCAAAACCCGCCCCATAACCACCGTCTGACCGGTGGTGGTGGCGGCTCGTGTTCCAGTGGGACGAAAGAAAAAGACGTTTATAACCTCGCTATTCGGTTACACCCACTCTCTACAGTTGCCACATTTCCATCCAGTTTCCGGTGACCATGGTGAATCATCATCAACCCATGGTGAACAATGCTGGTGGATCCATAAACCGCATGTCTGGCAATACAAATCCGGGCATGGGTCCGCTTGTGAACATACCCTACATGGCATCATATCAACACCCGAATCAACCGAAAACATCGGCTCTTGTTTCATATCGTATTCCATCCCCATGCCCATTTCCATTTGGTACTCATCAGGGTTAGCTGAGTCAACCGGGTCTCCTCCTTGTGGGCCTGGTTGCGGTTGCTCACCACCACTACCACCATTATCATCCGCAAGCAACTCGTTGAATGAGAAATACGTCTGCGGTTCAAACTCCATGTCCTCATAGTTCAAATCCCCGTAATCAAACATCATATCATCTTCAAATCCATTCGTTGAAACATTCCATTCCACAACCGGAGTTGACGATTCCGGATCCGCATTCCCAACGTTATAACTTGTAGCCAGTTCAAAACCAGGATTCTCCAATTCCCTTTCCGACTTCACATGCCTTCGCACTGGCAACTTCTTAGGTACCGGTCCGGTTCCAGTTCCAGGACCAACGTCGGGTTCTAGTTTCGGAATCAGAATCTGATCCCGATTCCGATCGTCAACGACCGGAAAGGAATAAAGAGATTTGTTGTCTTCTTGAAAGTTTACGGCTTCATCCAAGTCGAAAACTGGAGTATTACTATTCGCATAGAGTTCCCATTCATTCACTTGTTCTTCGTTGGTTTCGGAATTGGAATCCGATTCCAGAGTTTTCTTCTTGAACAGTGGTTTCTTCTTTGCTTCTAGTTTCCTTCGGGTTTCTGGATCCGTATACGGGCAAACGGGTATCCGTATCCTGCGACACCTACAACATTTGAACCCCACCAAATCCAAGATTGTCGACTCCTTTAACTCAACTGCATCAGCATGAAACCACTCTGCAAGTTTACATAACAAAAGTTAATCATAAATTCATAACCAATTTATATTTTAAAATATTAAATCTATATATATGATTAAAAGACTTACTACTGCAGCCTTCACAATGAATATACATCAAACTGGAATCATACGGTTTGCTACACAGGTGGCATGAAGGTGCCAATAGGTGTCCATTTGGATTGTTTTTTAGAAGCAAGTTTTTTAATCTGAAGTCGATTCCAGTTTCATCTGGATTCTTCTTTCTCCATATCAAACCTAAAGTCAACTTGGCTCCAGTAACTTTTGACCTCTTTTTACTAGAGTTGTTATTTTTTGGCTTCTTAGATGATGATTGGATTTGATCCACAGATTGTGTTGGAAGTATTTTTTTACTACTTTTCTTTCCACTTTTACTGGTTTTCGGTTGATTTGGGGTAGGATGATTCTTCTGAGCTGATTGATTTGAAATTGTGGGAACATGATGCTGCCTTATTTCAAAGCCATTTTGTTTTTCCACTTTAATGGATGTGGTTGAATGTTGACTTTCTTGCCCTTGTAAAAGCAAAGGACTTGTAGGTGAATCCCCATTGATTTGAATTGGAACTTGAGGCTTTACATTTACATACTTCTCTTGATAACAACGTTTACATGTGATTAAAAACTCAACATGTTTTTCCATCTGAACACTTGATTCAATCGCACACTGCTCGTGACAATAACCTGAAGAAAAAAAAAAAAGTAAATTACATTTGTCTATATTAGTAAAAAAGAAGTATAAAAATCATACCTTCACATACACTGCATCTTGCAGCAATCTTAAATGGAACATCATGTTGACACAAAGTACATAAGCATTTCCCTGGATTATCCCTCTTATCCAAAAGAAAAGAAAATATATTTTTCCCAGAAGACTTTGACTTAAGCTGCTTCTTCTTCAATGTAATGACATGCTTATTATCAGAATTTGGCAAAATCCCTTTCTCCATTTCATACTCTTTTATAAGATACAAAGGGATTCGCATTTCAACAAACCAGTATTTATCCTTATTATCTCCACTTTCCTCTACTTCCAACACGTTTTTCAAGACACGTGAAGGAAGATGCTTTTGATTCTCAAAAACAACACCATAACTGATTTTGTTTCCGGAAGCTTTCTTATCCACAATGCAAGCATTTCTGAAAGCAGAAGCTTCTGTTTCTGGACCTTTTCCTTCCTGAATAGGTTGATCAGGTCTAACAAGTTCACTCCATCTTACATGAAGATCTAAGTACCTCACCTGTTTCAAGGACCAAAAATGAAAACATTTCAAAACTGCAAGGGCCAAAATAGAATATGTTAAGTTTTGAAGAGGATTGATTACCTGAAGAGCAAGCTGTGATGCAGTCTTGCACATTTCTACTCCAGCTCTCCAAACAAACTGTCTGCTTCTTTTGGGAACTGTAACACCATCAGCATACTGCACACCATTTAATTTCCCAGAACCACCTGATAATAACAGAAAAATTACACTTTTGGTCCCTGAATTTTAACAAATTTGGTTGAAAAAAGTTTTACCTAGTCGAGCAGCATGCTTAAGCATCATCTGTGGTAATATCCCTTTTTGGAAAATATGCTTTGAAAGCATGCCACCTCGCCACCAAGAAAAGTCAACTGATGCATCTTTCCCATCATTATCAGTGACTTCAGGCACAATGACAGCTGGCTTACGACCTGGCCTACCTGGACGTTTTTGACTGGACCCCACCACATTTTTGACACTTGTGTTGACTTGTTTTTCAAGTCCCATATCATCTACAAGCTTAATCCAATCAGCTGAAAAAGCAATGCTTCGAGTGTTCTTCTCAAACTACATAAAAAACAATAACATAATATGATTTATATCCATGAGCAACATGATATCAATGTCCTAAAATCAACGATAATGATAGACAAAATACTCACTTCAAGCAAGGCTGCTTTTATTTCCCCAAGAGTTGCAGCTTCCTCTACTTTTTTACACCATTGTTTTCTATAATTCCCATTTAGGAAAGGCCCAATTGTAAGCCCACATAAGCTCTCTTCCATGAACATAAGATAAGTTGCAATAGAAGCAAGACTTCCCTCAACATTTTTTGAATGGCGAATGGAAGAAAGCACCTTTGAAGGACCTTTAATGGCATTTGAAAGAGCAGAATTTAGTAAGCAACCCTTTTTGCTGCTGGATGACACCTGGCAAGAAAGACACCACCCACATCTTTCCCTTGGGACTTCAACAAGTTTCTTTTCATAATTTGGCCAGAAAAAACGTTTTGCAGCAAGTAAAAATGCTTTTGTTTGAAGTGAGTAGTTAGCAGACATGAATTTCCTATGACTACTTAAAGGTTGAGGTTGAGAACCCAACTTTTCTTCTGATGATAAAATGGCTAAACTTGCAGCAGCTGATGCAGCAAAATCCCCATGAATGTACACATTTTGATATGCTTGTGGCTTAAAAGATGAACCCTTGTACAAACACCCATCACCAAAAAATGGTAACTTAGCAGCTTCTTTGGTAACCAAGGGTGTATTTGTCATTTCACAGGTCATGGTCATCTCTCTTTTGATATTGCAATTACCATTTTCAGTGACACATGCAGATGCAGCTACCACATCCTTTGAATTCAAATCCTCAACACCATTACTACTTTCCATAGGCAAGATCGTAGAGGGTGTTGAAATGTCAGCATCCACTGTTTTGTTTGGCAACTCTTGATCTATTCCATTTGATTCAGGAAGAGAGAAAACACTTTCAGGAATTTTCCAATGTTCCAAAATACCCTTGCAGATATTCAAGTAAAGAGCTTTATACTCATCCGTGTCAGTAAGGGCATGCAAGACTTTTTGAATGTCAACTGGTGAATAGTATCGAACATGTGATCCTGAACTTCTAGAAGCTTTCATCCTGCATTCATTCATTACAAAGCATTATAAAAATGTAAAATTATAGTAAGAAAGATTTAAGAGATGGGAACATACACCAGTAGATGATTGCAGGAGCCTAAGAACACTTGCTCATAAGGGTCAATGCCAAAAATTTCAGCTCCTCTTAAAGATGTTAACTTTGTAACATTTGGCCCAATTTTATTCATTGTACACTCTGGACAATACCATGCCCCTTCAGGCATAAACATTTTCATTATTCCTATACATCTTGAATGATATGCTAATGGGCATCCATCACAGCAAACTAAAATCCCATCCATGCCACATAGGCGACATTCATCAACATTACCATCTTCGTCCACATCAGCACCAATATGTGATCCAGTCACCTTGGGAACAGAAGAATTTGGAGTAGGAGTAGGAATAGGAATAGGAATAGGAATATCTTTTACAGGTTCTTGATCTTTGGGTAAAGGGTTTTTAGGAGGGCGACCTCGTCTTTTTATAGGTGTGTCTTTTACAGGTTCAGTGAATGCAAGAACTGCATCAGGATCTGGGCCCACTTCAGATTCTTCACGATTGTCTATTTCTGCCCTTAGTTCTGCAGAATCTAGGGCACCATCACATAAGATCTGCAAAATGATTAGCTTCCTACCTGCAGAAAGGGTATAATAATCCTTTTCCAAAACGTTAACATAGAATTCTTTCCATTCTTGCCCTTCTGCGTATCTCATGGTTGTTAGATATTGGACTATGAACATTGGCCATGTTAAAGAATCAAGCAAGCTCCAATCCATGCTTCTGAAAAACAATAAATTGATCAAGATTAGCAACAATGGGAAAGCAAATATATATTGAAAGAACGAATGAACGTGTTTTGAGAAATCATTATGCCAAGAAGTTATATTTAATGCTATAATTAATGCAAGCCTCCCATTTGAAAAAGATTCTATTTTCTTTCTTATGATTGTATGCTTAATGCCCTTAGATGCAATCGAATGTTTTGCATGTAACTAAAGATATGTAAAGAAATACCTGAGGCATTTTGATGCAAGCTCTGAACCTTCTGAAGAGAGAATTTCAACATGACTCTTTAAAGCACGTATAAGAGCAACATGAATGGCATCCAGGAGTGTATTGGGCACAGAACTATTAAGAGCACCAACAAATTCATCCAGTCCAAAAGGACTTAAGAACAAACAAACACTAAATGAGCGCAAGAAACTATATACAGAGAGAAGGAATGACACATGCTCCTCAGAGACCCCGAAATTTCCGGTAGAAGGCGGCAACTGTGGTGGTGGTGGTGGTGGTGGTGGGGTGGAAGGACTTTCAACCTCAACAATGTTACCAGACAGATCATAATCACTGATTTCACTGGATGATTCATTATCAACCTCAGCTTGAGCTCCACTAAGTTCAAAAGCACCACCACGAACTGAATTTTCAACCTTTTCAGCATTGGCTAATTCAACACCATTACTTATCTTACCATTATCATTTCTCACTTTTTCAGATTGAACTTCTTTTTCTTTAGCATACTTCTTCAATATACGTTCATCTAAAACCTTTATCCTTTTGCGGAAACCAGCATTCATATCTTTGTCCTCAACAATAAAGCCTTTCACTTCACCACTCTCCAAATCCTCACAATCCCCATCTTCATAATCAACCCTATATAATCCCGCATCATAAGAAACAATCTTCCCAATGAATACACCAACTCCGGAAAACTCCTTCTTCACATATCTCCCAACAAGCACCTTAGGCTTCGCCCCACCTGCTGTTTTCTTGGCTGTTTTATCTGCATCTTGTCCATCTTTTCTTTTTCTCTTTCTTCCTCGACGTTCCCTTTTGACCACCTCAGGCTCCATCCCCCCTCCCCCTCCGATTCAGATCCAAATCACACCCGAATAAATTCTAGGGCGAAAGCATCAATCGAAAATCCGATCAATCCTAATTCAAACAATAATGACGCAACTTTCAAGATTTTCGCAGATCTCATTATCAATAAGAATTTAATCGAATGCTATAACCAAAAAAAGAAGAAAAAATTGACAAAAAAATTATAAAGCGTGTTGTTTTTGGATAAACAGCTTGCAACTGCTACTTTCCAGAAAATTCGATGCAGATATAAATCGTACCTTGTCGAGAAAGTTTCGCCGCCACTGGAATCCCGATTAGGGTTTCGCCTGTGTCAAAGATACATGCGAATCTGTATGTATATGTGTGTGTTATCCGCGTCTGATATGGTGTCGAGATTAGCCCTAGAGAACAATACTTGCGGGGGAGACGAATATTGGGTTTTTCAGTACACACTCTTCTATATATTGATGGTGGTTTTTAGATTTGAATCGTCCGAGTCGGCCACTCGTGACTCGCCCGATTCAGTCTACGACTCGCTGGATTTTGAAATTTAATTGTTTCATGTTTCCCTCTTTTAGCTAGGTAATATTCCCGGAAATTATGAAATTTCTAATTATTTACAATTTCAATTTAGGGCTAAATTCAACGAATTACAATCATCATCATTTTTTCTCATTGAATTTAATTCAAACATGTCATTTTGAAACCATATAAACTACACTAAATAACTGGTATTTAATTTTATCAAAATTTATGTAAGGTGTTAGAGAGAAAGTAAAACGAAATCAACTTAGTTTAAATTATTGCAAATAAAAAACTCTTGAAAATTAAATACATTTGAAAATTTTGTTTAACTATGAAATAAGTAGATTATCATTTACTTTTGCAAGCTACTCTTCGATTACTCTGTTATGCACTATCTGAATTGTATAAGGCTTAAAACTGAACGATGGTGCGATAATGACAACACACTCCACATAGATCAAATTGATCCATGTCATTTTGATGTCTATATAATGAGGTGGTGTTGATGATATAGAGAACAAAAATAGAATAGAAAGAGAAAATACACATGAGAGTATTTGTCTCCTATGTTTTCAGCAACAAATATTTGTCAGTCAGCACTGTGTATCAACTTTGTGGTTATTGAGAGGTTGTGTTTACCGTCGACAATGTTGCCCACATAAGATAATGACGACAATTCAACCCCAACACCGTTTAGACTAATAGATATATTTTGGTTTCATTCACATTTCAATACTAACTATATATATATATATATATATATATATATATATTATATATATATATATTGACATGTTGGTATTCATTGTCCTAAAAAAGTATGTAGTTGATATTACATGACTACATATTATACTTTTGCTCTTTGTATTTATATTAATTGGTTTTGATTTATTTATTAACAATGAAAACAAATAAGCATATCACTTTATATTTATATATTTATAAAAATTCAGCCGTTCAAAGAGTAAAAAACAAGTTAACCACAAAACTTAACATAGTCATGTATTTAGGCTATCATGGTCATAACAATAATAGCATTTGTCTCAATTTCAATATAATTCCATGTACTATATATATAACAGATAATTAAAGTTTTTATGTCAAATTAGCTTCCAATCTTTTGCCTAGAACATCAATTATTCCTATAAGCGGTAGCACACAAATATTATCAAAAGTTATTTATACATATTTGTTTTTATCAAGTTGTATTATCGTAAACAAATCATCAATTTGTTTAGTTTACATGCATCCTAGCATTTGTTTCCCACCACTACTAAAAGTGAAGCTTGAATTTAATACGATCGTTTATATTGCTTTTATAACAATCACATGTACAAACAAAATAAACTTAACAAAATTAATTTGAATTATATGCATGACAATTGTCTGAAGACATGAAAGATGCTAATAGTTGTAAAACATAAATATATTAAAGACCAACATTGATATATTATCAAGATTATGACTACTGAAGAATCATAATCTTGATAATATACAAAAAAAAAAAATATATTTTCTTACATTTTGTTTTTATCCATCTTCCTACTCCTATAAAACAATGACATATAAACACCATTAATTCTCTCTCTTAGTCACATCTTTTAGTATCTTTTAGTTTTGACACTTATCTTGATCAAATGGGTAGGAACAAAAGTAGGAGAATATTTGATTTTTTTTTAAAAATACAATACCTCTATACTTAATAAATGAAACTATAATACCGTAATTGTAACGTTGCAACATCCACACTCATACTAAAGTAAATATAATCATAAAAAACATTTAACCATCTAAAAAAGACTACATTTGTTCTTCATACTCTTACAACACTTAAATCTTCCAACGGATACTAAAATAACAAAGACCCAAAATGTATAAAATAATATCATGGATACTTTATACTCATGCTACCCTAGAATATATACAACTTTTTAGTTTAACACGTAATTCAATGAAACATTTATATTTGTGGAACAAAATTAACCTCACGTATGCCTTATAATAGTTGATATATGAGAAATATACCAAGGGGTGTTTATATGTGCATGATATGTTGAAAGTGGTCATATCATATACATTAATCAAAATGAGACAATTATCGGTAAGGAATACGTTGTATGAGATAAGTTCTTGATGTATTTATATTATATGAAATGAAATGATAATGATCCATAGTGAGAATAAACGTCTATAAAATCATGTTAAATAAAATGTAAATAGATAATATTACTTTATACTTAATAAAAATTGTAGCTACTACAAACCAAATAACGACAAATCGATTATGGCTTACGAAAATATCCAAAAGACTATATTTAAATGTAATATATTTAATAAGTTAAAAAAACAAAATAAAACAAAAAATCATTAAATATGGACAGAAAACTTGTACAAAAAAAAAAAAATTGTGTACTTATTTTATGATAGTCAAACTGAAAAACAACTGTAGTTATTAACAGCCGATATACAATATTTTTTTATTTATAGGTAACGACAATAACTTATTTAGTTGGATTCAAAATGACTGAGTCAACTCGGACTCCATATATGCACCCAAATGGCTTTTTATTGTTACAAAAAATATAGATACGGTTTATATGCAGGGAAACCATGAAGGGCAGCAACTAAACCCATCAGGAATATGGCGGGAATTATTTAGGTATGGTATTGCTTTACCCGCTTTTTTATTAAGTTTTGAAGTTATGACTTTTTTAAACGTAAAATAGAACAACCTTTATTTTGTTTTTGTATTATGTGTTTCTAAATAAATAAACATATTTATTACATATGTCCTTGTATTTTTTTGGCCATATAAATTACATTTTATTTAAGCAAGAAAAATACCACAACTACAATTTTACAGGTTAAATGTGAATTGTTTTCAAAATTACACATCCAAAAAAAATTGTATAGTTAATGCATACAGACGGTAAAAGTGGGTGATTTAGACGATTCGAGTGACATGTCAAAATAATAACTTGTAGTTTAAAAGGTTATCCATGCATACAGTATAAGATACAAACAATTACCACCATAATTATATCAAGTCACCTTAATTATATCAAGTAGTGTTCTTTGGTTTGCAGAAAGTTTACGAATAAATTGAAATCTGTCAGGAATTGGAATCCAATTTCATAGCATGTTTGGTGGGCACGAAATAGAATTAGAATCCAATTCCATATTTTATATGGTTGGAAGGAAAGGAAATTGAAATGATGTAAAATGGCATAACTGTCATTCTTATTTTTGTTTAATTTTACTTTGTTTTATAAGCTATATGATCATGATGGTGGTGGCGGTGGTGATGGGTAGTGGTGGTGGCTGTGGTAGGCAGCGGTGGTGGTTGGTAGGGGCGGACGCGAGAATTGATAGTAGGTGTTGCCGGATTTTTTTTTTCCGATCAAACATAATATAAAAGTATGTTGCTATTAATAACATTTGTAGTTATGTTAATAACAGCGTACTTTTATTACTTTGTTTATTAAATCATTCTATTTTCACTTCTTTTTCATACTTATAGTACTTATTGCATCTTATTTTTGTTTTTTTTCAATTATAGCAATGTAATTTAAATATTATTTTGTTTTTTTCTATTATAGCATCGTACTTTTAATATCAACATACTTTTATTAGTTTGTTTTGTATTATACACAATTTCAATTTCATATAAACCCAAACAAGTAACACAAGCATACATATTTCTATTATAGCATCATGAATTTAAAGACAAACACTTTAACTTATCAATTAAGCACTTTATCACTTCATGTACTCAGACTAATAAACTTAAACAAGTAACACAAGCATACATATTTTACATTTTATACATACAATTTCATATCAACCTAAACAAGTAGCACAATCATACATATTTCACATTTTATATAAACCTAAACAATATTAATTTTAGATTACATTTTATACACTATTTCAATTTCATGTAAACCTAAAATCCTAAACAAGTAAATTAATATTTTATACATACAATTTGAATTTCAGATAAACCTAAACAAATAACACAATCATACAAAGACCAAACAAGTGACACAATCAAACTATCATACAATGACCAATTTCAATTTTATATAAACTTATACATATAATTTCAGTTTCAACAAAAATTAGCAATAAGTAAATAACATCAATAAAAACATAGCAATTTCACCAAGTCAAGATAAAAACATAGCAATTTCGAAAAACCTAAACAAATTGGTAAAATTTCAAAGTATCAATAGACAATAATACTTACTTGCTTCATTCTTAGGTTAGGGCTTGGAGATTACTTGGAGTCTTGGAGAGTTGGAGTCGATTTGAGGAATGGCAATTGGGATTCGATTTTTGCTACCCACTCAACAATGCAACCAACATAAGAAGATGAGAATGAATCGGAGATAGAGGAAATAAGAAGAGAAGTCGATTGTCAACAGGAAGCAAGCAAGCAGCAACGAGCGAACACAGGAGGTTATGGACCTTGTTTTTTCTTTTTTTTTTGTGCTTCTACCGAATTAGTGAGTCAATTTGATCAATAGATCCAATTCTCCAAATGTCATTGGGCTATTTTCCCTTTTCTTGGCTAAAATTAATAGGATTAAAATTAAAAGCATTGAGCTACTAATTTTTGGGTTTTGTTAATCCAATATGTCAACATTTTTTTATGTAGTTGTTGGTTTTTTTCTGTAGTTACCAATTTTTTTTACGTATTGGCACAATATGTAAAAAATCGAAAAAAATTCCACTGCGTACACGAATTTTAGGTATTGCCGGTGCCACATCGGGCACCTCTTTAGAACCGCCCCTGGTGGTTGGTAGCGGTGGTGGCGGTGGTAGTGGCAGTAGTGGTGTTAAACCCATGGCGTGCTAATGTCTTCATTTTAGCATCATGCAATCATCGTGTATCATAAATCCATCCAA